CACTTCAACTCCCAGAACTCCTCAGCCAACATTGCCCTAAAACAGTGATGGCGAACCTTGTAGAGACTGAGTGCCCCAAAACCACCCCACCCCCACCCCGCCCCACCCCCAGTCTGCCCCCACTCCTGCCTCGCCCGCCTGCAGGGCCACCCACCACCTCCACAGCCCACCACAGATCACCCAGTGGCCCAGCAGCACCATGGCGGCCACACCCTCCACCCGCGCCCTGCAGTATCATCTGCGCGTGAGGGTGGAGTCTTGTCCCCACTGCCATGTCCTTGGCTGCGCTGCTGTGCGTGGGCCGCGCCCGGGGGGTAACTCTCCTCCGGGGTGGCTGCTGGTGAGGAGGGGGCCAAGGGGGGAGGCGGGGCTGGGGCGATAGCACGCGTGCCCACAGAGAGGGCTCTGAGTGCTGCCTCTGGCATGCGTGCCACAGGTTTGCTATCACGGCCCTAAAAGATATCGTTAAGGCAGTGCAGCAGAACTCTAGCAGCAGATATTCTTTAAGATTAGTCAATTTTGCAGCCTAGAATTTGGATCACATCCCAAACATGCTTGGAAACATTAATGCTGAGTTAAAGGGCCACAACAAAATATGAATAGCAATTTAGAATTACATTTGTCCCATTTCATTCATTATGAAAAAAAAATGCATCAAGCTGCAAGAAAACTACATTAGTCTCCCTGCAGCACCCTTCAAATATACTGACAAATGTCTCTTTTGAAAGCTGGAGAGCTATTACCAGTTCAAAGAATCAGACTTCCCCAACTTAGTGCTCACCCACTGAAGTGTTGCACTATATTTCACATACTAAAATTTGCAGTCCCAGCATACAGGACAAAGCAACATGATTTATGGATGATCAGTCTTCTGCTCATGTTGCAGCTTGCTCTCCTTCTCCTAGCAGCCTTCTCCACACATGTCCAAATGTTCTCCAGAAGGTCCATTGGATCTTCAGGCCAGAACACTGGAGGAAAAAAGGACAATGCTAGAAGAGAAGAAATCCATTGTCCTGGCAAGCAGATGCAATTGGATGCAATCCAGAGGAGGAATAATACAGGGTATTAGATTGCTTAATAATGGTGAAAACTGTGCTCAGTTTTGTAGAACATGTCCCACCGCCATTTCTATATCTACAATTTTTGCAATATTCCTAGGTATTTCAGTAACTTGTTCTCAGAGCAAATGATCTATAATTGCTGGCTTAAGCAGGGCAGGGCAGCTTTCTAACAAGTGGCTACGTAGGATTGAGATATTAAATGTGCTCTAGAGCAGAGGTGCTCAAACTTTTCCAGGCTGCAGAACCTGTTAGTTAAAAAAAATCCCAGAAGTTATGATTCAAGACGCAAAGTTATAGTGACTAAAAATTGGCTGTGCTGAAGTGATTTTTTCCCCCCTTTGTTAGTCTTTCACAAAAACCACTGCAATTTCCCACAGAATCCAGGGTGTGCCACAGCCTTGACTTCTGTCCCAGAACACACACTGAGATGATCCTGGTCAGGAATACAATATTATTCTATCTTCCTGTTGTCACCATTCGGGGCAAGGTTTAAGTAGCTGTATTTACAAAGCAGGAAGGATATTATAAAATGATCTGGCTATAAGCAAGGTAGCACCCACTCATTTACGATCCAGAAGATGTGCAATTTTCAATCTCATCTTTTGAAGCATCTAGGCCCCATAGGATTGCCACAAGCTTCAGCCATGTGGAGTTCACCTTTCCATTGACTTGCCTGAAAATCAACATCCAGAGTGATCAGGATTTGCCCTGAGCTTTGAAGAGAAAAATTATCCCTGGATCCATAGTGAATTTAATTGCACTTTCCATTAAACACTTTGCAGCAAGAGACAATTCTGTGCACCTTGAAATGCAGTTTCAATGATGAAAAAAGACACAACAAATCCTCACCATCGCTTGGCATCAAAATCCTCTGCCCCCATTTAGACTCAAAATATACTAGGCCTTTTGCTTTTTGTGGGAATTATCCCACTAGCTTAGAAGGTACTTCCTAATAAAATTCTGAATGCACCCATGACCGATACTTGTTTAGGATTTTAGCTGGACAATGCCAATTGCTTACTTGTGAGTAATGTTTCCTCCACAGAACTGAAACTCTGCACAGGAAGTAATGCCCGATTCCTATTTACACACCAAAGCGACGTTAGTGAACACACCTAAACCTCATTATCTTTCAGCACCGTTTGGGGTACTATTTTGCTTTGAGAAAAGTCTCCCCCCGTTTCCCCCCCTGGGTTTGGAGGGACCTATTTGCCAAGAAATGTGCGACAGGACTACGTCCCGAACAAGCCAGTTTGCAACGTTTGCTTGCAACGTTTAGGAGGGTGGGAAGAAGCCTCCGGTTTCTGCAGAGAGACAATTCGCCCTGTTGGAAGAAGGCGAGAAATTGTGGGTCTTTTGTGTGTGTGTGCTTTCAGGTTGGAGGGGGCTCCGCAGGCATCCAAAGAGGGTCTTCAGAGTAGGGGTGGGAAATGATCAGAATAAAAATGAGGGTGGGTGGGGAAAATCAGTTCTATGCGAAGTTAATTTATGGCCTTGGAGGGAGAGGGAGAACTCTGGAAATTGTAAGAAAAGACAGGAAATAAAGGATTCAGGCAGAAGGGATCCCCGGGCAGAATATTTGAGGTGGGGAGTTTCCTGTGCCTGTTTGCTTGGAAGTAAATCTCAGTATTTTTCCACAGTAAGCGTTCATGGGGATTGAAAGGCGTAATCCGATAGGTATTTCTTCCGAGTAAATACTCGGAAATACTGCGGTCATTCAGGAACCGAGTTAAATAGGAATTTCCCACGGATGTCTAAATGTGAGGGCTACTTATTTCGAAAGTTCGGCCGATTTCATTAGAAAATGAATTGTAAGGCGCCTTGAAGGCATTTTTAAAATCCGGTGAAATCAATTGCTTCAGCATGGGTTCATTCAAATCACATTCGCACGTTAGGGATTAGGAATTAATCGAAAAGCAAGATGTAAAAATTATGGGGATGGGGAAACACACCCACGCGCGTGCAATTATAACATGAGACCCTGCAAAAAAAAAAAATTATTTTTAATGGTGCAAGATGGGAAACAATGCTTCTGAAGAAAACTGTTCCAAGTAATGGCGCTGGGATCAGGAAGATTGAAAATAACTTGGAAATTGGGTATAAATAAAATAGAGAAATCAAAGTATGTAACTGAATTTGAGAAACTGAAAAAAACGGTTCTGGTCTTCCTAAAGATTGGTAGAGGAATTGGGATAATCTAATGAGGGGAGTTTGCTTTGCTATAAAATATTATGTACATAAATACCCAAGCAGGTTATATCAGTCATTTATGGCACAGTAAAATCTTAATCAGATGAAATATATTTTTAAAAAAAGAATCTGCTCACCTCTGGAGATTTTTTTCCTTTAATTTGCCATAGGCAGCCAAAGCAATTAAAAGAGCATAATTGAAAAAAGAAGAGGATTAGAAAGAGAAAGAATCACAAGGACTTGTACCACTTGAGAGATAATCCGGAGTTGAAAAAATGTATGTGTTGCCAGCATGTGAGATCAATTAATATTGAGAACCTAATTTGACTTTTCTAAAATATGAGACAGAATTAAAGTGTAAGTAGTGTGCTAGACAGTAAAATATTAGGCATTGGGCCTCTTTAAAAAAAGATCAAAATCTTAATATTTAACCATGATGTTTGAGTCTTGCATGCAAATAAGGACAAGTGATGTTATGCTTTTGAGTTTTTGCAGGAAAAGGAAAATAAATTTTACTTTCCTAGATCGCTGCTTCTGGTGGATGAGGAAGATTTTTAATGTTACTGTACAGCACATGAATTATGCCTTGTAAAGTGTTTGCCCTCAGGTTAAAATAGAAAGTGCACTTTTATAGCCAAGAGCTTTCATTTGGTTTGGAGAGTTGCCAAAGCAGGACAAAAAGCAGGGAGGTATTATTTTATTGTTTACCATTTCCTTTTAAAAGCTCAAAAGGATTAAAAAAAACCCAAACCCTAATATGGTCCTGACCCAGGGTTAGAACCAGATGATAGCAATAGCACTTACACTTATACACTGCTTCATAGTGATTTACAGCCCTCTCTAAGCGGTTTACAGAGTCAGCATATTGCCCCCAACAATCTGGGTTCTCATTTTACCGACCTCGGAAGGATGGAAGGCTGAGTCAACCTTGAGCCAGTGAGAATCGAACTCCGGGCAGTGGGCAGTGCGCAGAGTCAGCCTGCAATACTGCATTCTAACACTGCGCCACCAGTGAGTAAGTGTTGAAAAATGGCCCAGTCCTAGTAGGCCAGGCATGTCAAACTGCCAGCCCACGACAAAACCGCGCCCATCCCATTGCTGGCAATGGGGAAAAAGTCACGATACGTCGCGCGACATCACATGATGTCGTGAGTTTGACATGCCTGTAGTAGGCTATTGATATTGCTCTTACTGGTCCCTCTAAAGTTTACCAACTATGGGGACAGAATTGAAGTAAAGATAGAGAGAAAACTATAACTCTTTGCCTGGTTTGACTGGAGAGTTGCAATTCAGATCTGGCAGATATGTAATGGTGGTCATATAGATGGCATGTTGGTTCATAACACGGCTATGATAATTAGTGTAATCATGATAATCAGCAGCTCATTTATCTGAAGGTTACCTGCTCCTTTAGTCTCTCAACTCTTGCTGTGTTCTTGACTATTTTAGCTTACTTTTGCCCATCTTCTCAGGATTGATTTGTGAGCAAAGCATTGTGTTACAGCCACTTAATTTTATTTTCTAATAATTTTCTTTTCAGTGTATATGGGACTCAAATCCATCCATGCAAATAAGGAGAATGTTAGAGACTCCAGCTTCCCATTTATTTGTTATTTTTATTCTTAAAAGGAAACTAAAACTAAGTGGGGCAGGAAAGGTGGTACTGTACTTTTAGGAAAATATTATCTCCCCCTAACACTTTCCTTTGTGGTTCTTCCAGTCCTTTTTTTCAGTACATTCAAGACCACAATGGATCACCAGGATGACACAGAACCTGATGAGCATTTCACTAAAATCAAAACTGAGGAACGTGTCCAGGACAAAACGCAAGAGGGTAGCTGTAACTATCCAGAAAGGATTAAAGATGTCCATTCCATCTTGTTCAAGAAAGTGCTGGAAGAAGTTGATAAGCGGCCCCCATCATCTTCAGAAGGAGAGAAGAACTTCATTTTGCTGAAGACCGTGCATTTGAAAACAGAGAAAGATAATATCCAGGGGCCTTGTTTAATTGATCACCCAGTGGAGCTGCATACTATGTTGCGAAGAGAGGCAGATTTCATCCGCTCGTTGGAGAGAATGCCAAATAGCATAGAGATTCAGGAGAACCCACGGAAAGTCCTGGCAGTAAGTTTGCCAGAAAGCATTTATGCACTTCATGAGATGGAAGTGATCAGTGGTCCAAAAGACAAACCAGGATTTGAGGAAGAGAGATGGTCAATTGAGAAGGATCCATATATTCCTCAGGTAACTTTTGTTCTTGATTATTCATTACAAGTAGGCCTCAATTTATGACCACAGTTGGTACCAACAAAGGAGAAAGTTTGTAGCTCAGGGTTGAAATGAGGGGTCCTTGGTGCTCTCTAAACTTGGTTGTTTTCTTACAGACGTTTCATTACCCAGACTAGGTAGCATTTATCAGTGCTAGTAAGGAGTGGGATCTGCTCTCAGTTTATAGCTTCATAACACATGGATAGATTTAACCATAGTTTCAATTGGGAAACTGGCCATCCTAGACCAAGCCAAATCTAAAAATGCTAGGGAAGTTCTAGAAGCCTGGCACTCTGACAAATTACCATCAATAGAAACAGAGACATAAACAATATCTACATACTATACCAGGGATAGGCAACCTTGGCTCTTTTATGACTCGTGGACTTCAACTCCCAGAATTCCTGAGCCAGCATGGCTGGCTCAGGAATTCTGGGAGTTGAAGTCCACGAGTCATAAAAGAGCCAAGGTTGCCTACCCCTGTACTATACAAAAGAGACAATCAACAAGCCAAAAAGACCAAAACACCTCCCTACCAGCAATCAGCATCCAGATGAGCATAGATTAACTCCATTATTATCAGTCCAACAATCAAGTAAACAATACTCCAATCAAGAGACTGCAAGACAAACCAACAGTAAACAGCCCAACCAAAGAACCTCTGAGACCACCAACATTGACAGGGTAAACCATTAGAACATAAATTGAGAGCAAACCCCAATCCTTACTAGCACTGATGATGTTACATAGTTTGGGTAATGAAACGTCTGCAAGAAAACAACCAAGCTCAGAGAGCACCAAGGTCCATAACTGGGACCAGAATTTCCATTGTTGAGCAAGGAAGTGTGCAGGGATTTATATTGATTTTTTTTTTGGTCAAATTGAAGTTAGAGAGAGAGCTGTATTAGTATGATAGTAGACACTACGCATCTGATGAAGTGAGCTGAAGTTCACAAATGCATTAAACTTTAATGTATTCTGAAAAAACCCTACGACGGTCATTCTGGCAAATTGCAGATCTGAGTATCTGAGCTTTGTCCTTAAGGTGCAAAAAATGGGATAATCTGATTGGTTTTGCTATGCAGTAAGGGTGATACAAATAAAACAACTTGCATAAAGAAACCGCAAGAGGAGCAACAATACAGATTTGAAGGGGGAAAGGAAATTCAGTGCACACAAGGATATTCACACGACATCCATCAGCAAGTCTTTACAGGAGCTGCTCCTGTTCCTGAAATCTTGGGATTCTGTCCCAACGAAAGACAGATTTGATTTAAGGAGGAGATGCCAGCAAGCGTAATGTGAGCCCTCTTGGGTTCTCCAAATACCAGTTTCCCCTTCTGAATCAGATCACTGCACAGCCCTTGACATAGATGTCCAGTGAACCCAGCGTGAGGATTCTTAATACAAATTGCTCTGACATTTTCCCAAAAGAGCATGGAGTCTATAAATCCAAGGCCGGTGTCTTGCAAGCAGTGGAACAGATGTGAAATGTTTCTGAAAGTGATGCCACCCACCAGCAAACAGACACTCCTTTTCTGCATTCCTGATGGAACACATAAGGTCGAAGAATTATTGCAAAAGCTTTGTCTCCTGATTGCATCCAGGAATAAACGTCTTCAGCAGTAGAAAATTCAGCAGATATATATTCTAAATAAGTTTCTGTTTATACTACACAGTTGCCAGGTTTTCATCAAAAGATCTGAAATCCATATCTGCTAAAAATTTCCATGGGTCAAACAACTGAACCAAGTGTATAAATTTTAAAATACATCACCAAAACAGAACTAACTCCTCTGAAAACTTCGAGAGAGGGGTGGATGACCAGTGGGATATTTGGGCAGAACATTATTGGGTGGGGGAAACACCCTGCTTCTGTTCTGGAATGCAAGGCATACTTTAAGATCAGCCTTTGCTCATTGGAAATATACCATACAAAGATTTTTACAATAATCTGCAGGCAAAAATATGCTAGTAAATTTGGTCATGTGACCTCAAGGTGCCTCAAACAGTCATAATTATGGCCCTATTGCCAAGACCCCAAAATGTGATCATATGATTGTGGGGGGGGGGCAGATGTCAGAATTTCAAAACCAGATGATAAATTCCTTTTTCGGGGGTCTGTTGTAACTTTAAATGATGGCTAAGTAAACAGTCATAAATTAAGTCATAAGTATACCAAGAGAGAGATGTGAATCTTTCATTTACATAATTTGTTGTTGTGTAGCTTTTTTTCTTCCTTTTTTCTTTTTATTATTAGTTTCTCTGTTTTCCTTTGTTGTGTTATATTAAACAAATATAGCAAAAAAATATTGTACAGTTAGTCCTCGACTTACAATAGTTCATTTATTGGCCATTCGAAGTTACAGTGGCACTGAAAAAAATGACTTATGACCATTTTTCACACTTACGACCGTTGCAGCATATCCACGGTCAAGTGATCAAAATTTAGACGCTTGACTCATATTTATGACGGTTCAGTGTCCTCGGATCATGTGATCATCTTTTGCAAGCTTCTGACAAGCAAAGTCAATGGGAAGCCAGTCTGTTCCTAAATTAACAATTGCAGTGATTCACTTAACAAATGTGGCAAGGAAAGCTGTAAAATGGGTCAAAGCTCACTTAACAAATATCTCACTTAGCAACATAAATTCTGGGCTCAGTTATGGTCATACGTCAAGGACTACCTGTAATGACTTCTAAATGATATGGTGTAAGGCAGGGGTCTTCAAACTTGGCAACTTTAAGATTTGTGGACTTCAACTCCCAGAATTCCTCAGCCAGCCCTGGCTGGCTGAGGAATTCTGGGAGTTGAAGTCCACAGTCTTAAAGTTGCCAAGTTTGAAGATCTCTGGTGTAAGGAATTATCTTTCTGGCTGTGGATGCTTCCCCCATTGAAATCGGATTGGCTTCATGCATGTATATTTTATATATATATTTCTCCTTTAAACGCAGGTTGATAGAGAAGAAGATGGAGATGGAGGCAGGGACTGGCAGCTCCTTGTAGCCGAAGAGGGAAGAATTGCTTCTCTGCCTGACTCTGAAGCAACATATATTGCAAATGGAGGAAATAAAGCCACGCTGTTGCACAATTCTGAAAGTAAAGCCCAAAGCAAGGACAGTATATCCCAACCTCCTGTTGCAATAAGCCGTGACGTTTCTTTAGAAATCCAGGAGGACATAGTCCAGCAAGGGAAAGGTATAAAATCACTTGCACAGTTTTATTTTTAGATACCTATGGTTGTAAAGGGAAGGACTTCCAGTTCCTTGAGGAACATTGACATCAGCAGCAGGCTCTGAGCTGTTATTGGGAAAGTGGGTGGACTTTCACTCCAATCAGCAGAAAAGCTCTTAACAATGTTTGCTCCTCCTCCTCTTCCTTTTTCTTGACTTGTTGCCTTTTAATTCATTTACCTATAATTATCTATGTGTAGGTAACTCAGCCTGAACTCATGTTTTTACTGTTAAGAGTGTTCATAATACGGTCAATTGACTACTCAATAAAACTATAGAAATATGAATTATTTGAGCAGATGTGTAGGAGAATCCACACTATAGAATGTTTCATTTGTTACTTACTGAAGTCATAAGAAACTCAAACAATGAACAACCTTTCGGTATTATATTAGGTTAATTGTTTAGTTTATTGCCTTGAATAAGAAATCTTGATCCATCTACTTAGGGTAGGGCTCTCCTTTAGGGCAATTCTCGTTATTCTTCCCCAAGCCTTGATATTTTTTAATGATTTGTTATATATTGGTGTCACTCTTCCTCTAAGAAGCAAAAGACTATACCAGTGATGGCGAACCTTTTAGAGACCGAGTGCCCAAACTGCAACCCAAAACCCACTTATTTATTGCCGGGTGCCAGGTGGGCGTGGCCCACTGGGTGGGCGTGGCTGTGGTCATGGCAGATTGGGTGGGTGTGGCCAAGGTGTTGCTTGTGGGGAGGGATGCCTGTGGGGGGTGGGCAGTGTTTGGGGTGATCCAGGGGGTCTCTGGCAGGTGGGGCGATGGGCAGGAGGCTCATCCTGCGGGGTGAGGTGAGGCAGGGTGGGGGTGCCATTGCCATGGGGCAAAGCAAGGGCTGGGGCAGCTGCTGCCTGATACTATTGGCCCCCGCATACAGAGGCCAGCGAGCGCATGGCGGCTGACGGTGTCCTTCAGCATCCACAGCCTGCCGGCCCCTCGACTGGCACACTCTGGGGCTCCGCAGCCCACCGCCAGCAGTTCAAAGAAGCAGCCTCTGAGGTGGATAGCCGGCTGACAGCTGAGGAAGCGATGCAGTGGGTTGTGCCCAGGAAAAGGAGAGCATGCGAGACCAGGAGGGATGGGGCGGGACAGGAGGGAGGGAAACCAGCCATGCCGGGATGCATCCAGCCATGTGGGACCTCGGCGAGTTAGCAGGTAGCTGGTTGAAGAGGGACAGTTGCCATCTCCGGGGTATGGCGCACGTGCCCACAGAGAGGACTCTTGAGTGCCGCCTCTGGCACATGTGCCATAGGTTCGCCATCACTGTCTTAGCCGAAACTAATTCTCTTCCTCTCTTCTTGTAATTACTTTATGATGTAGTTAAAACTGAATCTTTCTTCGTTACAGTAGTACAAACATAGCCTGCCAACATCTTTTCTCTGTCATGTTCCCACAATGCTGCTTTTAATTCATCCCCTGCTCACAAGAGAGACAGACTCAAGTCTCCTTAACTGTTCAGGGTGACAGTATATATCTTCTTCCAAATCTGTACAAGGGAAACTCAAGTTTTATAAAATACCTTTACTTTGTCACCCATTCACTTGCAAAGGTAGCACGAGCCCTAGAGCAGTGTTTCTCAAGCGTAGCAACTTTTAGTTGTACGGATTTCAACTCTCAGCTGAGAGGAATTCCGGGAGTTGAAGTCAACACATTTTAACCTTGCCAAGGTTGAGAAACACTGCCCCAGAGTAACTTGGGACAGGCAGGAGAGGCAAGATAAGGCTCAGTGATGAGACAGCATTTTTCTTGCCAAAATAGTAGCTTGCCAATTCAAGGTTTGGTGGGCAGCACAGCTCGACAGTGGGGGGGGGGGGATTTTAGATGCATTTATCTCAAAATCAGATGTTAAATATAAATATGAACTTGGATCTTCCCAGCTCCATGCCTGGTATTCAGATCTGTGCAGAAAGAGGAGATTGTTTAGATTATGTTAAAACAGGCCGAAGGTGTAGCACAGTGGTTCTCAACCTTTTTAATGCCGTGACCCCAACCGGTCATAAGTCGAGGACTAAACCGGTCGTAAGTCGAGGACTACCCAACCGGTCATAAGTCGAGGACTTTCCCTGCCCGGGAGCGCCGCGCATGCGTGGTTCCGCCCCCTGCGCCGGCCAAGGCGTAGCTGGCAAGCGGCAGAGATGGAGCAGGCCGACCACCAGCTGGCCCAGCCCAAGGGAGGTAAGGCACCTGCCGGAAAAGGGGAAAAATGGCGGACAAAAAAAATGGCGGACAGCCTTGCTTGGCGACCCCCGTGAAATGGTCGATCGACCCCAAATGGGGTCCCGACCCACAGGTTGAGAACCACTGGTGTAGCAGATAAGTATGAAAAATGAGTGAACTCACTTTATGAGTTTTGTACAGACAAATAAAGGAGAAAATACATTCAGAATTGTTTTTAAGTATACAGGTTTAAAGAAAAGGCATGCTGCAGAAATAGTTTATTGGAAAATAAATGAAAAAATACTGAAGAAATAAAATTGTAGAGAGATTTTTGGTGATTACTTACCGCTTCAGCCTAAAACAGATGTCAGAGGTCTTTACCAAACTCATATCTGAATTGTTATTTTGAAGTAGTCCTTTTAAAGTACTTCAACATGCATAAGTAAAAGGTATAAGTGATTCAGTTTTACAAATAAAAAATCTAGTGTCACTTAGGAGGACATTTAACAAAGGGCTGTTAAAGAATGCAGCTGTGAAACGGTTTATGTTTCAGATACAACACACAACATCACTAAATCCAGGAACATCTGTGGGGGATTCAGAAAATCAAGATGGTGCTTGTCTTAATAAGATGAAAATCCATCTAAAACATAATCCATCTGCCTTTGACTTGTCATAACAATTTATATAGCCATCCATCTTACAATTTTGAGTAATGCAAACTGCTCACAAATACGCAATATAAGAAGGCAGGGATTATATTTATGGAATTATTTACTTATGATAAATCTGTTTAGATCAACTTTGTGGATACAAAATTGTCACACTTCTCCCAAGCCTTCTTAAACAATAGATTCACTTTACAACCGTCACAACTTACTACCATAATGGGCTGGCTTCATTATAGTCATGAGGACTACTTGTATTTCCCCACCCCATGTTAATTGTGTTGATAATCATCCCTTGTGCAATCTCTGATTTCAGTAGACATACAAAAGATGCTTTTATTGGATTAATCTCACCTTAAGATCATTAGAAGATATAATTAATATTTTTTGAATTTCTGTGCCATTGATTTGCTAGAGTGCATATCAATTGCTCAAAAACAGACAGGTAATGGCACTTCTCCTGAAACATGTAAAATTATGTCAGATTGCTATAAGCAGAGGCAGTCCTTTAATTTGCCCAACCCAAACTTTTTAAGCTTTTAAAAAGTACTCAGAAGAGCTCCAGCAACCAGACTTGTCACTGTAGTATGTCACATGGATTGCCTACACCAAAGTCAGAAAAAGATCTGTAAAATTTGATTCTGGTCCAAGATTTTTGCAATGTAGATAAGCAGAAAATGGCCAGTGGTGCATTTGAAGGCCACTAATTGCCTTCTTTCCATCTTAAACTGCATGAAATAAGGGTTCAGAGAATCCATCTGGTCCAGCAGTTTGTCACAAGTCAACAAGCCAAAGCTAGTGTCGCAGGCTGATCGACGATAATAGCTGGGATTTAAAGTGATTTCTCAAAGAATATGTCTAGTCTTCTTTTAAAACCGTCTAGTCTTTTTTAAAAAAACTGTCTAAAAAGATAACAATAACCACATCTCATGGCTGAGTGATAGAATATCTCAATCCTTCTAACATGGTGTTTTCTAGATGGCATGGGACTGCATTTGTGGAATCACCATTTAGTCAGGGTTTGGTGAATCTGGGAGGGCAGTCCCAAAATATCTGTGGAAGATAGCAGGTGGAGACCAGCTGCAAAGGTTGAGGGTGGCGGCGTTATTTTGTACTGGTTCTTCCTTCATGGCCAGTTCCAGTTGGTGTTGATCAGGAATGGGAAGTCTCTCTCTTGGCCCCTAAGTTGTGGATGGCCACAGGATTCAGTACTTTCTCCACTCTGCTGGGTGAGGCATGGCTGGCTGGGGAATTCTGGGAACTGAAGTCCAGAAGTCAAAGTTGGCAAGGATGGACATCCCTGCTCTAGAACATTTCCCCTAAAGTCAGATCAGCTCCAAACCCATTGTTCTTCTGGAAGAGTCTGAAGACATGAGTATATCATCTATCTGGGTTGAGGCCACCTGGATCTGGGAATTTACATTTTTTAGTTTGTTAACATGGATATGGAACCTGCAAAGAAGCTGTATTGCTAGAAAAATTGAGAATGTTCTCTCCCAGATCGGGGTTTTTTTTCCATTTTTTTTTTGTTTTCATATTGATTTTTGTTATTTTATTTTATTGTCTTGTGTTTTTAACTGCATGCATAATTCAGAGTCATAGTGAAATAGGCAGCTATGTAAATTTACCAAATACGTAAATAAATGTTACCATCTGGGTGTGACAGGCAAGAAATTAACATTAGTGTTTTAATTAAAGGAGAGGTGGTTTTTGATAAACATATTTAACCTAGCAGCAACTTTCTTTCAGGAAGCATTCAACAACACTGCAATCTGTGTCTGTTTGCCACATTCAGTCTGTCTGACTTTAAACGCCATATGAAGAAACATTCCCACGAAAAGCCACATCTGTGCCACATCTGTCTTAAAGCTTTCCGTACGCTTTCTCTGTTGCGCAACCACGTGAACGCCCATACAGGTATGTCTGCCTTCCGTGTAAATTGAACCCCTCAGTAGAACCTGTCTCTACAGTTTGTTCCACTGTTTTTAATGACTAAACGTAGGAATATACATCTCACATAAAATAGTCATCTCTTAGCTTTCTGTTTGGGAATATTTGCAACGGGTATTTTTTGTTTATTTTTAATCAATTGATGATTACGGAAAGCTACAGTGTTTGCTTAACTTGATTAGCCAAGCCCAAAATTATGGTCTCTAAAGAACTAGTTTGTCCAGACAAAGTTCTCCACCAACTTTCTTGGTACGGGGTTTGCAGAGACTGGAGCACTGGTATGTTTTGCCATTTCAGAGCCGGCCCTGCCATTAGGCAGAGTGAACAGGGTAGATTCATTTAAAAACAATTTATATATGTACATACCCATGTACCCTTATTCACTTTCAGCGTAAATAGCATAACGCAAAGTGCAGTAAAAGAAAAAGAGTTATGAAGTGATAAGCCAAAAAAAATATAGAGGAAGGATAAAAAAGGAAAGGAAATATACCTAAATCTATTTCATATCAACACCATTTAGTATGCTTCGCCATATCTTTTTGTCAGGCTAGCATTGCTTTCTTCCAATTGTACGGGTAGTCCTCAACTTATAACAGTTCACTTAGTGACCATTCAAAGTTACAACGGCACTGAAAAAAGTGACTTACGACCGTTACCCTTACGACCATTGCAACATCCCCATGGTCATAAATCCAAACTTAAATGCTTGACTCATATTTATGACGGTTCAGTGTCCTGGGGTCATGTGATCATCTTTTGCAACCTTCTGACAAGCAAAGTCAATGGGGAAGCCAGATTCACTTAACAACTGTGTAATTAACTACTGCAGTGATTCATTTAGCAACTGTGACAAGGAAAGTCATAACATGAGGCAAAATTCACTTAACAAATGTCTACTTTAGCAACAAAAAAATTGTGGGTGTAAGCCGAGGACTACCTGTATGTTACTTCAGACATTGCTTCCTATTCTTTAAGGATTTCACCCCTTTCTGTTTGAGGATATTTTTATATTCATTCGTCTGTAACTTTCTCAGATCCTCTTGACTCATATATTCTTGATACACATATATTTGATCTGCAGTTTGAATCTCATTCATTCTCTCTATAGAACAAACTCCTTCAACATATTACAATACTGAACATTCAAGTCAAGATTCATTCGGCATCCATTCATTTTTACCCTATTTTTTCTTGTTTTACAATGCACACTTCTTACATATTCCATTTCCACCGCATTCAGCTTGCTTTTATGTTTCTCCAGGTGTGCTCAGCTGTCAATTCTATATCATAGATTGGGCCAAAACACAACCGTATTTGTTTTTTTCAACATTCATTTCTAGTAGGCCACAAGCCACCCATCTCTTTCTATAGGCACTTAACGGTCTTAATGCATGTTCTACATCTTTAAGAAATGTTCTCAAGGTATACAATTTCATCTGCTTTCTCCACTTTTTCACCATTTATGTATCATTTGTAATATTTCAGTCCATTGCAGCTGTTAGTGGCGACTAGAATGAACCTTTGGTTTAAGAAGCTGCAGTTTAATAGACTTCAGATTATATTACTAAAATTCTCATATCTTTAACTGGGGAAAATAATGCATCATCGGGCATCATTTTGCCCAATTAAAGATATGAGAATTTTAGTAATATAATCTGAAGTCTACTAATTAACTTTTGACATAGGGCAAAACTGTTTCAGCCAAGTAGCTCAAATGAGCCAATTTGCAGAATGTGTCCAAAATCTGGGACCCCATAACTCCCGTGGAACCGAAATTTGGCAAATTTTTAAAAAATATTTTGTGACATAATATGTATCATAAAGCAATTTATGCCATGTAACACAAGCATTTCCTGGGATCAGTTTGTTACTTTTGACTCTGCTATAAAATTTCTGATTTTTGACTATGCTATACAGTTCAACCTGGGCTACTTGCAAGGCAGATACAACTCTGAATATCTCCTTGATTTTTTAAGAATTTTTAAGTACATTAGAAGTTCTGCCCTTGTTGAAGACATAGAGGAATCTGGTAAGGAAACATCTCTGAAATGATGAGCCAACAGGTTGTCTAATAAAGGACAAGTTGTTATCCCAATGTCACCACAGAATAATGGTCAGAGTGCAATCTCCCATTGTAATCTGGACAGTTCATATAAGTGACCATTATTTTCATCAATTTATGTTATTAAATCTAATTTGTGTTATGTAAATCGATGCAAGTGATGCACATTTCACCATACATTCATCCAAATAATGTACATTAAGATTTCACAGATATTTGGTATAACACAGTATTTCTCAATCTTGGCAACTTTAAGATGTATAGACTTTAACTCCTAGAATCCCCCAGCCAACATAGCTGGCTGGGGAATTCTGGTAGTTGCAGTCCATACACATAAATACAATCTGAATAATACATCTGTCTGCTAAATTGAAATTTTACTCTACCTTGAACTTTGAAATGTGAATTTTTGATTATATTCCTGTCTATGAATTGTTGCAGTTCATTCAGGTTCCCCACCAACAGCATGACATATTTGCATATTAAAGTGCACGTTCCCATCCCTAGCAACATCACTGCAAAAATTCTTATCTTTGTAAATCCCAGCAGTCAATGAGAGTGAGCTGGGCAGCCATATAAGTTTTCTTAAATAAATATATGCTGTATACATTTACCCTTAAGTACAATAAACAAGCAAGGATTTATCAAAAGTCTTACTATTAGTCCATCCTCAATTTACTTAGCATTCCATTCTTTGTTATATATGCTTTGCTTTCATTGCTTCAGTTGCAACCAACTTGCAGCTCTCAAAACATTCTATAATTCAAGCTTATTTATGATATAATATGCTTTCTCTAAATGAAAAGGAAAATCATAACCTTTTCTCCTCATATTCATAAATTTCTCAGTTATCTGTTAAGAGCAAAACTCCGGTTTGCATAACCTGTCTGGCATAAAGCCATAGTGTTATTCCAGATTCTATTTAATTAATTTATTTATTTATCAAATGTCTACACTTTTATTTATTTACTTTTATCTATTATTTAGTTATCATATTGCTACACTTTTATCTTTGTTTATTATTTATCAGATTTCTACGCAGTTTTGTTCATTGTACCCTCTCATTCCCTTTGAATCAAATTCCTTCCCAGACATATTTAATAGACCAATTCCTTGTAGTTTTTCATTCAGTCTTGCTGTTTTTCCCTTTGTGTTCTTTCAGTTGCCAAGCATGAATGCCATCCTCACACTTCGAAACAAATCACATTCAATAAGTAAATCACATCCATTCATTAATATTTCTCAACTTAATTTATTTTATTTATTAATTATATTTTTATTCCTTTATTATTTTAAAAAATAATTCAAGGCAGTGAAAGGTTGGCCTAAGAGAGAGTGACTGGCCCAAGGTCACCCAGCTGGCTTTCATGGCTAAGGTAGGACTTGAACTCAGGGTCTCTTTCTAACCTAGTATTTTAACCACTAGGCCAAGCTAGCTCTCAGTTAACATCGTTTTACACTTGCATGAGATTTCCAACAATCTCATGGTTTTAATTTTCGTCCCCTTTTTCTCTCGGACATTTAATGTTTTATTACATTCATATTGGCTCCACTCTTGGCTAATCTCTGTCCTTCCCATACAGACCTCTAAACGTGCTTTTCATTGTTCTCTTTCTTCAGTTTTATCCAAGACCATTTCATCAATTTTATTTTTCATTCCAAACACTTAGTTCCAAGTAGGTTTCCCTTCTTCCGTTCACTTCCGATCATTCTCTTGGAGGTTTATTCTCAGATACATTTTATTTATTGTTTATTTATATGCCACATTTTATTATTTTTGCCAATAACTCAAAGCGATGAACATATCCAACACATTTTTCTCAATTCATTCTCTTTTAATACAAGACTTGCATTTTCTTTCCTGCAGTCCTTTTTCTCATTGTAGCTTCACTTCTTTAATTAGTTTGTTTAATTAAGTTTACTATTATGGCAAAAAGCAGCTCAAGTTGTTTATTAATTGCTTCCTACTGAGTTGGATCAGATCTATTACATTTTTTTTTTCAGAAGTCATTTTGAAAAAAAAAGTTGCGATATTTTTTCTCATGCTGTCTAGAAAAAAAAACCCATTTTCTTCAAATAATTCCTCTTCCTTCTCTTTAGATAGCCATCTTTGGGAGCCAGATCAGTATTAGATATGGAGTATAGCGAGCTAGTTTGGTCAAGTGGTTAAGGCACCAGTGTAGAAACCAGGAGACTGTGAAATATAGTCCCACCTTAACTATGAAACCCAGCTGGTAACTTTGGGCCAGCCATTCTTTCTCAGACAAGTTCACCTCACAGGTTTGTTGTTCTGAGGAAAATAGCAAGAGTAAGGATTATTAGATATGTTCTCTGCCTTGAGTTATTTTTAAAAATAATAAAGGAGGGATAAAAATAAATAATAAAAAGAATAAAAGAAGTACAGAAAATCATTGCTGCTTCATCAGGACTACTGTTTCTCCCTGCACACCTGATGCTGCTTTTTCTCATCTCTGCCACTTGCTATTTTACCTTTTTAAAAAAATGCTAATCCTATGCACAAAATTAACAGCATTTCTAGGTTGCTTTGAAGTGTTTGATGAGTCATTTTCCTCCTTATTGGATTCCATGCCTAGGTAGATGTAAAACTAACAGCCCTGTATCACAACAAATTTCTCAGTATTCCAGGTAGATTTGGATTTAAATGTTTCAATTGAATACATTTTGAAAGTCTGCTTCTCTTTTGCAGGGACCAAGCCACACAAGTGTAAAGAATGTGATAAGGCCTTTGTGACAGTGGGGGAACTTTCCCGCCACAAGCGATATAAACATACTCTGGAGAAGCCCTTTAAATGCTCCATCTGTAACTACTGCAGTGTGGAGGTAAGAAGGATTATTCTCTGCAGAATCCTTTTGCAAAGTCCTCCCTTGACTGAGTAGGGAAAGATGAGGTTTCCTTTGAAAGAGGCACAGCCATTCACGGTATGTGCATTTTAGTTAGAATCGTAGTTGGTAGGGAATTTAGAAGTAAAAGCAAGTAAAATTCCTCCCCACACACAGACATTTAACAGCGCACGTTGCAATTAGTAGAGATGGGTGGATGGGACTTTTAGGCTAGCATGATGCTATAGTATGGTCAAGATCCAACCTAGAACTAAGAAACTTCCTGACACTGGGAACAACTAACCAGTGGAACGATCTGCCTCCAAAAGTTGTGAGTGCTCCATCACTGGAGGTTTTCAAGAAGAGATTGAACAGCCATTTGTCTGGAATGGTGTAGGGTCTCCTGCTTGAGCAGGGGATTGGACTAGAACAGGGGTTCCCAACCCCCTGTCAGTGGAGCAGTACCGGGCCACGGCATGCCAGCAACCAGTCCACACAAACAAGCAAAGCCTCATCCATGGGTGCAGGCAGCATACAAAACCACGCCCCCTCCGGTCCACAGAAAAACCTCTCTCCATGGAACCGGTCCCTGTTGTCCAAAAGGTTGGGGACCTCTGGACTAGAAGACCTTCAAAGTCCCTTCCAACCATATTTTTCTATGTTCCTAAGTTCCTTAACCAAACTTGAGTGTAAGATCTAAAGCGTGGGTCCCCAATCCTTGGGCCACAGCCTGGTATCAGCCCGTGGCCCATTTTGAACTGGGCCACACAAGTGGCGGGCGAGCGCACAGCTCCACTTGCATGAGTGGGATGTGAGCCTGGCGCTCACGCAAATGGAGCTGCGCGTGCATGCAGAACTATCCCTTACCACCACCACCACCACTGCTGGTCCCCAAAGCCAGAAAAGTTGGGGACCGCTGTACTAAAGTATCTCTGTCAGATGACCATTGCCCAGTGGGCAATTAATTTTCCCAAAAGGCCACATGAGAAACTAGGACAGTTGTGGAGGGCTGAACTGATGGGGCTGTGAAGGTGTGTAAGCACACATGCATATATTACATAAATTGGGGGTGGGGAATAGGTGCCTTCAAAATAAAAGCAATGCAATTGTGTTGTGTGCATGGCATACACTTATTTACATTTGATTTCTAATTTCCAATTGACCTCACGTTGAAAGGGCCAGATGTGACCTGGAGGCTGTAAAATGCCCAGGTCTGATCCAGCCTCTGCTTGAAGACCGTAAACCAGGGGTAGGCAACCTTGGCTCTTTTATGGCTCGTGGACTTCAATTTCCAGAATTCCTGAGCCAGCCATGCTGGCTCAGGAATTCTGGGAGTTGAAGTCCAAGAGGCATAAAAGAGCCAAGGTTGCCTACCCCTGCCCTAAGCAAAGGCGAACTAGCCATCTGTTGTGAGGCCCTGTTCCACTGGCTGACACGTTGCTTAGTCAGAAAGTTTCTCCTGATATCTAACCTGAATATCTTTCCTTGTGGGAAACCGTACTGAGACATCCCTCAAAGTCTTCCAGTCACCTGAAATATGGAGGGTGACCTCTGACCAGAATTGTTTACAGCCATCTTGGTTTTCATTCAGTGTTAGATTAAACCCTGTATTTGCTTGAAGACTGCTATTAACATCTTCCCTTACAGATAGTCTTGTTTAATAACTATTTATAGTTGCGACAATGATAAAAAAGTAACTTTACTACCAATCCTTCCACTTACGATCTTTGCAAGTCTGTAAAGCAAAAGAAAGATGAAGTAAGAACATAAGAACATTTGCTGTTCACTTAGTGATCCCTTTCGTTTAATAACCAAGTTGTGGTTGCTAAACAGCTACTTATAATTGTCTTTTTCTATAGGCTAAATATATTCAGATCTTTAACCTATAGGACTTGGTTTATAGACCATTTACCTTTATCCCTTTACACTTGCTAAAAAATTGTCCTTTTTTAAAACAGTGGTGCTAATTCTTTATAAGGAATATGCCTTACATGGAGGGAAAAAAGCCTCTATGAGATACTTTTTGAAGCCAGAACAACAAAATCCCAGCAAAATACATTGCTGAGAATTCTAGAAATACTAACCAAATAAGGGGTTTAATCTAATGCTGAATGAAAACTAAGATGGCTGCAAGGAATCCCTATTTGAGGTCATCCTCCACGGCAGGAAGATTTGAGAATAGCTTTTGAGGCTTGTCTTAATACCTGCACTTCGTTCCTGCTTCTGGTAAATAGATTTTTTATCATGGTCAGAAATCTGTTTGCCTTGCCGGATGAAAGAAAGACAAGAAGCTTAAACCCCTCTCAATTCTTCTGAAAATAGTGGTTTGTTTCTAATCAGCGTTAAAATATTCTTATGAATGTTCCATGGATAAAGTAGCAGCCTTTAGCATTGATTTTTAGAAACTAATAAAATGTCAGCCAAGGGAGAGCAGATTACAGAGTTCTTTAAACAACATTTTCTTTTTTCATTTTTCTGGTTGGAAACAACATATAAACTTGGAGAAACAATATTAAATAAAAGGGGAGTAATATAAAGGATGTGAGGATCTGTGTGTATCTCTTGTTTATCGTTGCTGCATATACTCATAAAAACGCCAGTTGCTCAGATTTGCTATGCAAATTATTGTTAAGTGGTCACGCTCAGTTTTATGACATTTTTGGCCTGTTGTTAAGCAAGCACTGCAGTTGTTAAGTGAATTAGACAGTCGTTAAGCAAACCTAGCTTCCCTCATTGACTTTGCTTATTGGAAGCTGGATGGGAAGACTGCAAATGGCAACTGGCGTGCCTGAATTTTGATAATGTAACTATGGAGACGATCATAAAGAAGAGGGAGTCAAGCTATTTTCCAAAGCGGCTGAAGGCAGGACAAGAAGCAACAGGTGGAAACTAATCAAGAAGAGAAGCAACCTAGAACTAAAGAGAAGCTTCCTGACAGTTAGAACAATTAACCAGTGGAACAACCTGCCTCCAGAACCTGTGAATGCTCCAACACTGGAGGTTTTTAAGAAGAGACTGGACAGCCATTTGTCCGAAATGGTATAGGGTTTCCTGCCTGAGCAGGGGGTTGGACTAGATGACCTTCAAGGTCCCTTCCAACTTTACTATCATCATTATTATTATTATAAGTGTGAGTATTGATCATACAACACTTTTTTCAGTGCTGTTGAACTTCGAATGGTTGCTAAAATAAATGTTTTTAAGTCAAGGACTAACTGTAGTCTTGTAAAAAAAAACAACAATTTTGCAGAATTGGACCTTTAATATTTTTCCTTTTGTGGTTAGGATTAACACAGAGAAACAGGAGACCTAGTTTGGAAGGCAGAACTTTAGAATAGAGCACTCCAAACTTGGCAATTTGAAGACTTGTGGATTTCAACTCCTAGAATTCTGGGAGTTGAAGCCCACAAAGTTGTCTTAAAGTTGTCAAATTTGGAGAGCCCTGCTTTAGAAATGCAACGGCCTATCCGGTGGTAGGATTCAAATATGTGAACAACCAGTTCTCTGTGTGGATGCCGCTTCCGGACTTTCATTCTGGGCCTGGACAACAAAAAATTAGCTACCGGTTCTGGTGAACTGGTGCAAACCGGCTGAATCCCACCACTAGTGACAAGCAGTGCCACTTAACAGCATTTCTAAAAAGTCAACTTCTTTTTTTTTTTTTTTTAATTTTAAGTTTTTTATTTATAATACAATTAAAACAAAAATGGACATACGTGGCATTCCAGAGTAAATATTCCTAACACTTTGTTTCTCATGGTACAAAAACTTAATACATCATCCTTAACCTCTATATAAACCTCATTCTTCGACACAATACAATTATATATACAATTATATGTACAATTATATGTATGTTTCAATCCTATCGTTACCTTAAGATCCGAGCGGTTCTCCTTGATTCATACCAGCGATAAAATTTGTCCCAGGTTTCGAAATATTCCAGTTCTGTCTTATCTTTCATAGCCATTGTAAGCCTGTCCATCTCTGCACATGATACAATTTTATACAGGATTTCTTCCGTTGGAATTCCCTTATTCCTCCAATTTTGAGCATAAACCAATCTGGAAGCCGTTAGAATGTGTAGCATCAAATAGAGTACGCCTTTGTCATACTTCTGCGTTGTTATACCTAATAGGAAAAATTCTGGTTTTAACTCTACCACTCACTCTAGTATTTCTTCCAACCATTCTTTAACCTTAGTCCAAAAATCACAAGCTCGCGGGCACTCCCACCACATATGATAGTATGTTCCAATTGCCAAATTACATTTCCAACATTTAGAAGAAATGTTAGAACCCATTTTAGCTAATCTTATGGGCGGGAGATGCCATCTATAAAACATTTTATAGAGGTTTTCTTTGTAAGAGGTGGCCAGAGTAAGCTAAAGTCAACTTCTTTTTAATGGTGAATTGTTTCAGCAGCACCCTCGATGCATTTATAATTCAGAATCTTCTTTCATCATTGTAGGCCAGCAAATTGAAGCGTCACATTCGCTCACATACAGGAGAGCGCCCTTACAGTTGTACGGTGTGCTCCTATGCTAGTAGGGACACTTACAAATTGAAAAGACATATGGTAACTCACTCAGGTATGTATTAAAACTATAATGGCTGCCATTAAAGCAGAGTAATGCTAATGCTTGGTCCTGTGGGGCTATGAGATGCTGAGCCACTAAAGGAAGAAAGATAGGCAAGTGAGCAAAAGCAAAGCAGAACAGTTGGAAGCAGATGGTACTATAGAATAGCAAAGTCAGTGGATTTGGAGACAAAACAAGAGAAAACTATTTGGAAGAAGAGTTGGCTTCTAAAGACTTGAGGGCATGTTAGATCTGAAGTAAAGAAGACTCAAGGAAGAGCTGGTAGATATGTTCAGGTATGTAAAGGAAAGTCATAAGAAGAATGACCTCCAAGAACTGCTTCCCTTGTCCACAAAAACTAGAACCAGAATGAAGGATATAAACTGTAACTAGCAAGATTTCATTTAAATAGAAGAGGAAATTTCCTGATGCTAATATCTGAAGAGCCGTGATGGCACAGTTATTAGCATTCTGTATTGCACAGGCTAATTCTGCCAACTGCCAGCAGTTCAATCCTGATGGGGCTCAAGGTTGACTCAGCCTTCCTTCCTTCCAAGGTCGGTAAAATGAGGACCCAGATTGTTGGGGTCAATATGCTGACTCTGTAAACCGCTTAGAGAGTGCTGTAAAGCACTACGAAGCGATATATAAGTCTAAGTGCTATTGCTATAAAGGTAGGACATTGTACCTGTTGAGATTGCAGGTTCTCCATTTTTGGAAAGAAAAAAGGCTGGGCAGCTACCTGTCCTAGACAGTTTGCTTGGTTTTCTTGCACATTGTAGGGAATGGTATTAAATGATCCCTGTGGTCCCTTTCAGGTTCATAAGTCTATGATTCAGTGGTTGGGAGAATAGGAAATCAAGCTAGGAGACATGCTATGAAGAAACAAGGACATATGGCAACATTGAGCTTTCACTGTGCTGTTGTATTATCAGCCTGCTTCCCCTCCTTGGTCTATTGAAATGGCAAAGACAGGATAAAGACACTGTTTTGAACAGGGTTAAGGAATATATTTTTTGCATGCTGGCCAAAATAAATCTCAGTATAATTGTCTGCCAGGAAAGATGAATGAAACTGATGTGCTCTTAGCAGTAAACCCAGGAGTAAAAGATGGAGGGGATGGATGGATGGATGGAAGGAAGGAAGGAAGGAGAGAGACAGGGAGGGAGGGATGGAGACAGGTCTCTATGGTCACCAGCTCCATCTCACAAACTCAAGGACACTTTTATATCGCCCAGTGTTTGGCTTTGCCCTCGCCATCTTTACAACATACAAAATTCTCCAGCAGTTGACCAATGCTCCATTCAACTAATAGATTAAAGAATAAATTATAATTAAACAATTAATCCTTTCACTAAGCCAACTCTCTTCTCAAGCTAAGCTTGATGAAATGGGGAGGAATTGCAGTGTAAATCTGTTTAAATGGAGATGAATGAAATGGTGGCAAGGAAGTGGGAGAACCAAGATAGATCTCTAGGAGGGCAGATGGGCAAGAGTTCCCATGGGGGCCTGGATGCAGCATCCGTTCCAGTTCAGGGTGAGGATGGAAAAAGTAGGATCTGGAAAATATGCTACCGTTTTCAGCTGTGGCATTTTGCTCTCTAGTTCACCAGTTATTACAAGTATGTGTTTCCCTCTAGGTGAAAAACCCTTTGAATGTGTGATTTGTAAAGCCAGATTCACACAGGCTGGGACTTTGAAGTTCCATGTTTTGCATAAACATGGGGAAAATGTACCAAAATACCAGTGTCCGCAATGTGCCACATCCGTTGCCCGGAAAGGCGATTTAAGTAAGTTTTATAACTTTCCCCCCCCCAAAACCTTTCTATAAAAACACATAAAGAATGAAGGTCACTGTCAGTATCCAGCTTGACTTCATAAATCTATCCCCAAAGTATCGTGCTCTGGATCGTTAATTTCCAAAGCAAGCTCTTGTCTTTTTGCAGTAAATAAACTCTGATTTCTCACTCAAAGATGTGACCAGTGAGCATTGTTTCTATATCTAATATCAATCATTTGGACTTAGCATGTTCCTGACATTTTCACACACAGTTTTTCCTGAGTTTTTTGGGTTCTAAGTTGCTGTGTTTTAATTGGGAAAGTCACCAATGTCTTAGCACTCTGTTCTTTTTTTTTTTTTTTTAATTTTCAGTGATTTTTTTTTCTTAGATTGCCCTGAATTCTTCTCATTATGTTTTCCAGTCCTTCTTGGCCCATTGCAAATGTGCCCTACTATATTTGCACACAGATATAAGTACAGATATAAGTACAGCGCAAAAAAGTGCCATTGTATCTGTAGTGTATCATTTGATTTAAGTTATGAGCATGAGTATGAATATACATTTTTAAATCGTACAGGGAAAAGGCAGGTGAGACCATCAAAAGAAGCCATGTATTAATTTTATAAAGTCTTCTGATCAAACTGCAAGGTAGGCAAGGTATATCTCCTGAGAGAAAGTATTAGGAAAATCTAAGATATAGTAATAATAATAATAATAATAATAATAATAATAATAATAATAATAATAATAATAATAATAATAATAATAATAATAATAATTGTCAATAAATAAGACAAAAAAGTCTGGATAGTAGACGTGGCAGTGCCTGGAGACAGCAGAATAGACGAGAAAGAACTGGAGAAGATAACAAAATACAAAGACCTGCAAATAGAAATAGAAAGACTGTGGCAAAGGCAAGCAAGTGTAGTACCAATTGCCTTGGGTGCAATCCCAAAACAACTGGAGCACCACTTGAACACCATTGGCATTGACAAATTTGCCATTAGTCAATTGCAAAAGGCGGCCTTATTAGGAACTGCTTCCATCCTGGGACGATATCTGTAATACCATCAAACATCCACATCTGCCTATCCCAGGTCCTTGGTAAGGACTCGATAGGTAGACAAAATGCCAAATCCAGTCTGAACATCTGGCTGACTGTGCGATGATCAATAATAATAAAAGTTGGAAGGGATCTTGGAGGTCATCTAGTTCAACTCCCTGCTCAGGCAGGAAATCCTATACCAGGGGTCTCCAATCTGGGGGCCGTGGCCCGGTAGTGGGCCATGGCCTGCTGGCCACCGGGCCATGGGACAAGCTGGCCAATTTGTGCGCACACCCCTCACTTGTGCTAGCCCACGGGTTGCAAAAACAGAACCCTGTGCCATAGGGCACAAAAATGGGCTGCCACTGCACCTTGGGATGCAAAAGTGGGACACCGCTGCACTGCGGGGTGTGAAAATGGGCCACCACTGTGCCATGGGGTGCGGAAATGGGCACAGCCGCACTGCGAAGTGCAAAAACGGGTCACTGCCATGCTGCAAGATGCAAAAATGGACACTGCCGTGCCATGGAGCGTAAAAACAAGGCACTGCGCCACGCAAGAACGGGGCAGAGCTAGTGAGTATCACACGGCCGCTAGCCCCACCCCATTTGCAGCATGTGTGCTCACGGCCCCATGCGCACGCGCACACACGCATGTAAAATGCTTCCCCCTCCCTTTTCCTCCGGTCCGCCAACCGACAAAGGTTGGTGACCTCTGCCCTATACCATTTCAGACAAATGGTTATCCAGTCTCTTCTTAAACGCTTCACAACTTCTGGAGGCAGGTTGTTCCACTGATTAATTGTTCTAACTGTCAGGAAGTTTCTCCTTAGTTTTAGGTTGCTTCTCTCTTTGATTAGTTCCCATCCACTGTTGTTGTCTTGCTTTCAGGCGCTTTGGAGAATAGCTTGACTCCCTCCTCTTTGTGGCAGCCCCTGAGATATTGGAGCACTGTTATCATGTCCCCCCTCGTCCTTCTCTTCATTAAACTAGACATACCCAATTCCAGCAACCGTTCTTTATACGTTTTAGCCTTCAGTCCCCTAATCATCTTTGTTTAAGTTGGTCTTTAACCTGCGTGAAATAGGAGAAGACAATGTGACTTTGAAAACTGTTGGAGAGAAAAACACTCAATACACCAATGCCATCTTTGACGGGTTTATTCCCAGAGTTTGAGGTGAATAGGGTTCATTTCAGAATTGCTTCATTTTATGATCTACCCCATTGATGTATGCGAAGCAGTTAAAAACCTGCACTTGAGACGTCCTTATCCTGGAGATTGTTAGAAGAAGATGACAGGACATTTGCTTAGTTGACTTCGATCAATTCAGAAGTAGCTTCAAGAAGAAGTCTTTGTGTGAATGATGAGCACGCAGTAGGTCAGGGACATCCACAGTAGAGACAAAAAATAAAATAAAACCAAGACAGCTATGCAACCGTGAGATCAAAAGCCTACCCCCTTTTTATATGTGTCAGCACACATGTAAAAACAGGTATAGCTTTAGTCATGTGGTTTCAGCCACCGTTGTGACTTTTTAAATACTCTTTGTGTATGCCTCTGCCTTAGGCCCAGATTTTTAGAACACAAAAGTAAATGCTTCTTAATTGTAAGTGAACAAATGAAAACATGGAATCTTGAAAGGGAGACTGCAGATGAATAAAAAAAAGTTAATGGCAAGAAATTGAGGGCTAATACAGCCTTTCCAACTTCATGCTGTTTTGAGATTACAGTTTACCAAATTCCCAACCAGTTTGACCAAAAGGCATTATAATCCCAGCCAAGGGGTCACATCGGGTACCAAGAAGACTACTAAATGTGTAATTTTTAGGGTTTTCTCTTTCAGTGGTATGTATGTAAATTTTTTGGAAGATGCTTTTGCAAAGATCAAGTTTTTATTTGTTTTTATTTTTTCAGCTCTTAGTGAGACTGGATTCAAGGACTGAATTTTGTAAGAAAGCGAAATAGCACCACCTTTTGGTTACTTGGAGGGAAGTGAATATGCTCCTTAAACCAATCCTTTGCTTTTTATACATTTAAAAGGGGCCAGGAATTGTTGCTCCTCTTAATTACCTCCCTCCCTCCCTTCCTTCTTCTTCTTGTGAAGTCTCTAAATTTGAATCCTAATCAGAGTTCAGTTGGTGCATCTCCCTTGAAGTCATGTAGTCTGTTTCATATTACCTTTTTAACTAATATTTGCAATTCACAAGCCCCTTAGGTACAATTTAGGTTGCATGGTTGCTTAAATATTGCACTATTTTGCTTTTTCATGGGGGCTTGGGCATGTCCATTTTTTTCTAGATTTTCTCATTGTAATGGTCACTAGAGGAATGGTTATGAGTCGAAGATTACCTGTAGTGTGGGTCATCTGATGTACAGTAATGTGAATCAGAGAGACTTTGCCTTTTAGCAGTGGCAATAGTACTTAGACCAGTGGTTCTCAACCTTTTTAATGCTGCGACCCCCAACCGGTCGTAAGTCGAGGACTAAACTGGTCGTAAGTCAAGGACTAAACCAGTCGTAAGTCGAGGACTACCCAGCCGGTCGTAAGTCGAGGACTTTCCCTGCCCGTGAGCGCCACGCATGCGTGGTTCCGCCCCCTGCGCCGGCCGAGGCATAGCTGGCAAGCAGCAGAGACGGAGCAGGCCGACCACCAGCTAGCCCAGCTCAAGGGAGGTAAGGCACCCGCCGGAAAAGGGGGAAAAATGGCGGACAGCCTTGCTTGGCAACCCCCGTGAAATGGTCGATCGACCCCAAATGGGGTCGCGACCCATAGGTTGAGAACCGCTGACTTAGACTTATATACCACCCCATAGTGCTTTAGAGAGCCAGCCTATTGCCCCCAACAATCTGGCTCCTCATTTTACCGACCTTGGAAAGATGGAAGACTGAATCAACCTTGAGCCGGTCAGGATCAAACTCCGGACTGTGTGCAGAGTTAGACTATAGTATTGCATTCTAACCACTGTGCCACCAGGACTTTTTTTTTTCCTATGGATATAATAGTCACTGCATGGGATTTATGTGAGCTTAAAATTTGTTTCAGTGTCTTTTTTGTCTGTTCAAAACACCTGCTTGAGACTCAACAACGGTGACCAATTAGGGCAAATCCATATGAATGCTCAGAAGTATTTGGAAAAAAATGTAAAATCATACTTCTCCTGTTACAGGTATCCACTTGCGAAACCTGCATTCTTACATTGAGATACCGGTCAAGTGCAATTATTGTGAGAGTGCCTTCCATGAGCGTTACGCTCTGCAACAACACAAGAAGATACACAGAGATGAAAAGAAATTCAAGTGTGATCAATGCAGCTACACGTGCAAACAGGTATTTATGAAATGGCCCAGCTCTGGCTGCTGTTTATCAGATTTATAGACTTCCTTTTATGTAGGAGCTCAGCGTTCCCTTCCTCCATTTTTTTCTGACAACAACCACTCTGTTAGGTAGGCCGGGCAGGGAGAATGGCTATCCTAAAATCACCCAGGGAGATTCTGTGGCTGAGCATGGACTTAAATTTGGATCTCCATGACTAGCTCTCCAGTTTTGTAGAGCAGGGAGAGAGGTTGGATTAGAAGACCTCCAAGATCTCTTTCAACTCTGTTAGTCTGTTATATATGGGCTTTCGTTTCATGTAACTATTTCCTGATAACAAACTCCTACAGCACGGGTGTCAAACTCGATCGCATCATGTGACTATCACAACATTTTTTTGCCTTTGCAGAGCCGGGGTACGCATGGCCTGTGTGTGATGCATCCGGTCCAAGAGCTGCCAGTTTGACACCCCTGTCCTTTAGAATATCAGTCTTTATTGTTGCAAAAGGGAGGAATTATTGCTAAGCTATAGGGCAGGGGTCTTCAATCTTGGCCCTTTTATGACTTGTGGACTTCAACTCCCAGAATTCCTCAGCCAGTGTGCCTGGCTGAGGAATTCTGGGAGTTGAAGTCCACAAGTCAGAAAAGGGCCAAGTTTGAAGACCCCTGCTATAGGGTCTGTGACTTCCTCTTTAGAGCAAAACGCTCTCTTCCAGGCCACTTGACTGATCTGTACAGTATGTCACAATTAATATTTGAAAGGCCAGAATGAAGATGAACAAAATTGTATTGGGTGAGATTGAATCATTATCCATTAATTCTGGGTTTTCAAGAAAAGACAGAACTATTTTCTGAGATGGTTTGCCTCAGAAGGAATTGAATTTTCTTCCTGCTGAAAATAGTCTTATTCCAAAGTCAGGTTGCCCTCACATATCTTGGTTATTTAAATATCAACTTCAGAACTGATAGAAAACAAAAAAAATGGCCATTCTAGCAGGTAAATGGGGTATAGGATGAAGAAATAATGTTACATATAATTTGATTCTTCTTTGCCCTCCCACCTTAAGTTATCCCAATCATGGTTTGTCATTTGCCTGAATATTTGATGTTATTGAAATAAACTGAATATCTCATCTGGAGCTTATGTAGAAGTGCATTAAATTTAAAAAATGATAAGAGGTCTTGAGGATAAACCATATGATAAATGGCTAAGGGAACTAGGTAGGTCTAGCCTAATAAAGAGAAGGTTTAGGGGTGACACAATAGACATCTTCCAATACTTGAAGGGCTGTCATTAGGAAGAGGGCGTCACAGCACCTGAGGGTACGACAAGAAGCAATGGGTGGAAGCTTGTCAAAGGAAGATCCAACCTAGGAACTAAGGAGCAAAATCCTTGGCTTTGTTTTGATGAAGTCTTCTTTCTCCCAGGAACGCCATATGATTGTGCACAAGCGGACGCACACTGGTGAGAAGCCCTTTGTTTGCCTCTCCTGCAACAAGGGCTTCCGGCAGAAACAGCTCTTAACCATTCACTTCAAGAAATACCATGACTCCAGCTTTGAGCCAAAGGTCTATGCATGTCCCAAGTGTGGCAAGGCCTATTCACGTTGGGTAAGGTGACTTGTTTGCCTTTTTGGAGAGGTCTATAACCATATACAACAGCTGGAGAATAATAGTTGTACTCAGTGGGTTCTATGCAAATACAGGTTTTCACTCTCCCAGATTTAGCCTGCCATCTAGATGTGTTCAGTTCTGATTCTCATGCTGCTTAATGATCACTGGACAGCAATTTTTTTTTTCAAAAGTTTTGCTTCTTGAAAAACTTTTGGTGATTATGATAGACCCCTTCAAACTGAACCCAAATATAATTTCAGAAACCCTATGTTACGTAGGAATTTTGAGATATATGACATTAATGTTTAATGACCATAATGTATTTAATCGCATAAGGTTGCTGGCAGGCTGCATGAATTAAACAGGGCCCAAAGTGTTTTACTGCTGATCTTTGTTTGTACTTAGTATTCAATACAATTTGCTGAAGTGTCCAGTAGTCTGCCAGCATTAATGGATACCAGTTACAACTCTCTTACATGGCTGTCCCAACCGCATGTGTAACAACAGTACTTGGTATATCCAAGCTGAATTCCAAACAACGAAACCACTACTTTTAGATCTCCACAGATATCCCAGTTGTACTTGGTGTACTGGATGTGCTTCAACAACAATTCCTTATTTTCGTATGTTTCTTTCATATCTGCAGCTCAGCCAGCAGGTATTGAATGACGTACATTGCCATTTTGTAAAAAGAGATTTCTACAAAACATTGCGTAATAGATATTTTTGTGATTAGCAGCCAAAAATCTATAAGATACACACAAAGGTGTTCAGGAAGCAAGATCTTTATTGTCCAGGGTGACAAGAAATATAATTGTACTTGGAAGGTGCCAAATCAGTTGCTGTGCCATAGGTGGCAGGACTTAATTTCCCGAATGCTTTTCAGCCACTGTGGAAATCAAATTTTACATTGGCTCATAATTGCTGAGGATGCACCTGGGTCATTCCCAGTGAAACCATGGATAGCTGCAGTTGTTACAACCCTGATTTTCTACAAATGAATTAATGGTATGTGGGAATCACTTTGATAGATGAGGGAAAAGATGCTTCCTAGGGCAGGGCTTTTCAACCTTTTCACCCATTGTACCACTTTTAGGATATGGCAACATCCGAGTACCACCAGTCGTCTAGCAAGGTGTCAAAAATGTGATGACCCCCCCAAAAAAGGAAAAAAGTGATAAAGTACAGGTAGTCCTCGACTTACAACAGTTCGCTTAGTGACTGTTCGAAGTTACAATGGCACTGAATAAAGTGCCCCCCCAAGCCACAGCCGAGCAAGACACCTGCCTGTCTGCCCGGCGGCGCTCTTCCTCCCGTCCGAGGTTTTCATTGTTGTGAGCATTTCTGTTGAGGATTGGCAGCATGGGTGGGGTGGGGGGTGTTTTGTTTTTATTCCCCCCGTCTGCTGGGTGGTTATTCCCCCCAGCAGCAGGTTTTGGTCACTTCACATGACCCTGGGACACTGTGACCGTCATAAATATGAATCAGTTGCCAGGCATCTGAATGTAAATCACAAGACCCTGGAGAGGCTGCAACATTCCAGCTGATCGGCGCTTCTTCTGGGCTCACCAGAAGCACCAGGATCAGCACCGAGCTCCAGCTGCCAGGTGCCAATGTACCACAGGTGGTACCCGTACCACTGGTTGAAAAGCCCTGTCCTAGGGAATGGTCAGATAAGAGACAGCAGAGCCTACAGGTGAATTGTGAGCAGAGCGAGAAGCTCAGAAGGAAACCTTCCTAGGTTTTCAGGCTGTAACGTTAACAGCAGGAGAATTGTATTTTCAGACTTGCAAGTCTATTTATGTAGCTTTACAATAAAGTAGAATTAGTTTATCTGGCTTTTTTCCTGCGTGGTCTATCTAATAAGGCTGACAAAAACACCATATGCCAGTGCCATGGACAGGTAGATAAATGGGACATGAGAAGAGGCCAGAAGTCTAGGAAGGGATTGCACACGTGCTCAAAAAGGAAAGGAAAAGTGCTAAATTTTCCTGTAGTTCTCTCCCCCCCCCCAGTAGGAACCGGTGGGTAGGATGACATTACAGTGTCCCTTCAGTCAGTCAGAAAGTTGGACAGATTGCCAAGCACCCAAATTTTGTTCACATGACTGTGGGGGCACTGCAGCGGCCGTAATTTCAAAATTGGGCCATAAGTACCTTTTTTGTGGGTTCATCTTAACCTCCAGTGCTAAGCAACTAGTCATAAGTGGAGTAATGTCGCTATATCAAACTTCCTTATCCTGCTGCCTGAAACTCTTGATTCCATCCTGCTTTGCTGACTTGTTTATGCTGGCTAAGGAAGGGGCACTTCATGACTTCTCCCTTCCCTAAAACCCTGTGCATTCATGCTTTTAACTGGTTGGGTAAATTCTCTTTTGGCCTTTTCTTTCTGCATAGAATAACATGTGCAAGCACGCTGAAAAATGCAAGGAGGCAAGAGCTTTTGAAAGCTCTCCATCCTGCAGAGCAAGCAAGAGGAAGAAAAAAGAAAGTCATCCTATGGCCAGACAAGAAGGTAACAAATGCAATGATCACAATAAAATGCAGCAAGAAGAAGAGCTTTGGGTGAGGGGGAGGGCAAGGAAGGGATGTTTTTTTTCCTGGCCAGGTTTAGAATCTGCACATTAAAAAAAAAAAGGCATTGGTTAACTTACCTTTTTATAATAGGTGTCGTGGTTCCAACAGATGAAACTCTTCAAAGAACTTCGAGGCATTGTTTACCTTAAATAATCTTTATTCGAATGGCATAGCTTCGGCAGGTACATAATCAGAAGCCAAAATCTGGATTCCCCTCCCCTTAGCACATAGTATCAAACACAATTCCCTCCTCTAATTAACAGTCATAAATCACATTCTTCAATTAGTTTGAAATGCAGGCTTTCCCTCCTTTACTCCAACCCGCCATTTCTTATCATCTCTTATTTCAAAAGTCCTGAGTTCACACACTATTACAATATTATTATGTCTAACTAACTCCCATCACATTCCTGCTCCTCCCCCAGTATCATCTAATTCTAAGTGTAAAGAAAGAAAAAGGCTGCATCTCCATATGTTGTCAAAGCAAGAACATCCAATGTTAGCAACGTTGACAATAGGTCAGTTCCAGCACAGATATAATTACATTTTGAAAATTGCAATAATAGAAAAGCCATCAATACATCTGCATGTTAAAAGGGTGAAGGGGAAAAAAAGACACTCCAGCTTTCCTCTAAAATATTGTCCCCGTATGCTGAGTTTGTCACTTGTCCCTGTGCTGAGAAAACTCATCCCTGCTAATACAGGTTTCCCCAGGTTTGGTGTCCTCCCGAGACACAGGCTTGAACTCTCAACATTGGCCATGCTAAATGGAGAGTTATGGAAATTAAAGTTTCTTTCATTGGAAATTAGAGTCTGTGCCTTTGCAGACGGACATTTTGGCCTCTTCCTGCATGCATTTTGACTTCCCATGCTGATAATGAGCTGTCCATTATTTTATCCTACCTTTATTACTTTATAAGTAACTCAAGATAGCAGATATACTTAATACTCCTTCCTCCTCCTATTTCCTCCACTACAACAACCTGGTGAACGTGGGTTGGACTGAGAGAGAGAGAGAGATTGGCCCAAAGTCACCCAACTGGCATTCATGTCTAAGGGGGACAAGAAATCACAGTTTCTTGGTCTCTAATCATAAGCAAACTGGCTCTATTACTGTTACTGGATGCATAATCAGCCAGATGTTTGGACTGGATTTGGCTTTTTTATCCACCTGTCGAGTCCTTCCTAAGGATCTGGAATAGGCAAATGTTGCTTGATGGTGTTACAGATGTCAACACATAGGATGTAAGCTGTTCCAAGTAGAGTTGCCTTTTTCAATTGACTGATGGTGATTTTGTCAATGCCAATGATGCTTAAGTGGCGCTCCAGATGTTTTGGGATTGCATCTAAGGGGCCTATTATTACTTGGTACTGTCTTTGCTTTCACTCTCAGCTCTTGTATTTTGTGTTTTTCCCTCTTTTCTTCTGCGTCTCTAGATACTGCAATGTCTATTATCCAGACTTTGTCTTTCTTAATCAACATTTGTTGTTGTTATGTATGATGGACATACTTCTAAACTTTTTTTCCTTGCCAAATAGCCATGTTTTAGCACATATTAATTTTGCTTGCACACATAATAAGCTGCTACCCATTAGAAGCACCCTTTTTATCTTCTTCCTTTCAGACATTACAGAGACAGGTGAACTTGTCTTCTCTGCTTCCCCATAATATTCAGAATTATTCATTGCCACCCTCCCCAATGACAGTTTTATTGGTATAATTAGGGCCAAGGTTGGTAAGGAAAATATAATCATTAATCAGTTTGAAACATGCAGAGTATTTTCAGTTTCAGAAGTCATGTATAAAAGTATTCTGTCTGCCTACATAATGAGCCCAGAGACCCTTATCATCACGTTGCAATTTTTTTTTTCATAACATTCTGGGCTCCCTGCCACATTTTTTCATCTACAGCCCTCCCCAAAACTTACAGGGAGTCTTCAGCTTATTACCATAACTAAGCTTGAGAATTATAATATACATTGTGACAGTTGTAAAGTGGGTCATCATGTGACTGACCCCCTTTTTTGCAGCAGTTGTAAAGCAAGCCCCCTGGTTATTAAGTGAACCCATTCTTGACTATGGGCCAGATTTTGCTGGAAACCAGAAGTAAATGCCAGTTTCCAGCAATCATAAATTGCAGTGACATGGCAGCCATCAATGTGGGCCTGTTGCTGAGCACTCCCAGCATAGTCATGTGACTGTGGGCAGGGGGCACAGCTGCCAGAATCTGATCCTAAGTAGCTTTTGGGATCCATTTTAATTCCAAGTGGTTTGTAAGCAACTGTTCACAATTCAAGGACTACTTGTAGTTGGAGAATGGGGGTCCTGAATAACATAGGACATAGAAAGGGGTTTGTTTTAAGCAGCTTGATGGTCTACTGATGAAGACACTCGCCTCCCACTCAGAAGGTTGAGAGTTCAATTCTAGGTAGCAACATATGTTTCTCTCTCAGGGCACAAAGAGAAAATATCTACTGTGAACTCCCTGTAGGCATCAGGAAGGGCATCCGGCCAGTAAACACTCAGCTATATCCAGTCACCCCGACTCTACCCCAAATTAAGAGATTATAGGCTTGTAAAAAAGAAAAGTTTATAGCAAGGGGATGTTGGGAGGAACAAAAAGAGGGATGCCAAAGTCCAAGCAAGAGAAGTACTAATTTTTTGGCAGTCTATTGATTACAGCACCCTACAGCCCTCTTAGCCAATGTTCATATTCACCTTGATTATTTTTTCTCTTCAAGCATCTGTTTGTGTAAACGCTCCATTATGCACCCCGAAAAGTGTTTCTCTTGAAGCATGGGAGAAGAAAGAAACTGCTCTGGACGACAGTAAAGCAGGAATTACTTGTGAGATACTCTTCAATTTGATGGACAAATAGTGTTATTTTCCTTCTTTTTTTCTGTTTGCAAAGCAATGGCTTCCATTGTAGAAGAGCATAAAAACCCAGATGGCGATCTCCTATATTTTCTTTTTGTAAAATTACATATAATTATTCATGGGCTAAATCTTGCTCGCCACGTTGCCTTTTGGTCTTATTCTGATAATACTGTGTAGAGAGGGGACTCTTTACACAAAGTTAAATATGTGGAATCCTTTCCAGTGGTGACCCTTTCCATTGTTTGTAGCCCTAGAGTTTTAATTAACCAGAGTTAGAGTTAAGCTGTAATACCAGTTTATTCTTTGATGGGGATGTTCCGCTGCTTCTTTTCATGGCAAATGCATCTTCAGGTCAGATTTAGATGTTAGTGTAGGGTCAGGGGTCTTTACGTTTTTGCTCCTAGTGGCATCCCCAAGCTTCTGCAATTCATATTGCAAAACAGATCCCATTGAACTGAATGGAAATCTTGGTTTTATCAATGTGTGATCCAAATTCGTGAACGTGGGTTATCATAAGAATTGAGTCTGAGCCATTCAAGTACTCCAACCGTCAGTTAAATAGGAAAGTTTATAGAAAGAGTCTTGTACCAAAATGCTCCCGCTTATTTCTTTTTTCTTTTAAATATGTTGCAAGTATCTCATAGAGATCAGAATAATTGAGATTTGTTTATGGTAATAGTGCAGTAGTCTTTTATTCTTTACTTATTTGACAAGAAAAGGCAGCAGTGGTGTTAAAACTAACTGGTGCATTGTCTGTATTTTATTAGAGCATTAGGACTGTTTCAAGGCTAACTGGGAAAAACTGCTGGGCTCTTGTTATTTAGGCACAGAAAAGTAAAGTATATTTGGTTCTTGTTTAATAAACGTTTTTGTGTACAGTTTGGTTTAATTCAGCTGTTTTCTAAAACCGTTGGATGTCTGACTATCCTGGGTAAAACCAGAATTAAAGTATTCTGCTGTGTGAACATTCAGACATTTAAGGTTAGGACTTGGAAGCCCATGTGTAAAATCCGCAATGATGTATTGCAAACTTAGATATCTGTTCCTAACCCCACCAACATCAGACTGACATAACATGTGAGAGCATGATACAAGCTTGCCTTTGCACTTGCATTACAACATCACGTTTGAAGATCCCTGCCCTAGGGGAATAACAATTATGGGGCAAGTGAGAAACTTAGGAAAAAAAGTGAGAAATCAGAACAAGCTATCGTTTGAAGGAATCATGGAAGAAACATCTGGCTGGCCTTTGGACTAGGACAGGGGTGTCAAACTGCTGGCCCGCAGGCCGGATGCATCATAGCAAAATCGTGCCCACCCCATTGCTGGCAATGCCAAAAAAGTCGCAATATGTCGCGACATGTCACATGACATTGCAAGTTTGACACCCCTGGACTAGGAAGTTAGTAGGCTTAATTACTCCTTCAGGGGGAGACAGAATAACAGAGTTGGAAGGGATCTTGGAAGACTTCTAGTCAAGCAGGAGACCCTATACCATTCTGGACAAATGGCCGTCCAGTCTCTTCTTAAAAACCTCCAGTGTTGGAGCACCTACAACTTCTGAAGGCAAGCCATTCCCTGGATTTATTGTTCTCACTGTCAGGAAATTTCTCCTTAGTTCTAGGTTGGAACTCTCCTTGGTTAGTTTCCATCCATTGCTTCTTATCTTGCCTTCTGGTGCTTTCCAAAATAAGTTGACCCCTTCTTCTTTGTGGCAGCTTCTCAAATATTGAAATACTGCTATCATGCCACTAAACTAGACATCCCCAATTTCTGCAACCGTTCTTCAAATGTTTTAGCCTCCAGCCTCCTAATCATTTGACTACCAGGACATTAGGGGACCGGAGGCTAAAGCATATAAGGAACGGTTGCTGGAATTGGGTATGTCTAGTTTAACAAAGAGAAGGACAAGGGGGGACATGATAACAGTGTTCCAATATCTCAGGGGCTTCCACAAAGAAGTGGGAGTCAAGCTATTCTCTAAAGCACCTGAAGGCAGGACAAGAAGCAACGGGTGGAAACTAACCAAGGAGAGAAGCAACCTAGAACTAAGGAGAAACTTCCTGACAGTTAGAACAATTAACCAGTGGAACAACCTGCCTCCAGAAGC